GTTATGATAGGTGGCAAACAGATGCTTTTATAAAATGTGTTTTTTGACTTGATTTATGATGAGTTTAGAGAGACATAACCAAATTATAAGTCAAAGAGCATCTTGTATTGCCACGTGATTCCTTTTCGTATTCATTTCAGGATACGGTACGTGCATCTCAATGGAAGTGCTACTACATATTTAACTCAGGAGAAAAGGAGATTCAGAGCCACTGTGTGAGAACAGCTCAGCACCACACTGGTCTGGGAGAAGTCACAATGCACTCTAGTTTTCCTCTTAGACTTGGAACTATTTTCAAGATTTAACGTCGTAAACCTCCCAATTCTCACACGCATTTACCGTGGAGATTTCACCCGACATTAAGTCAGCTTTCCTGCCACTGGGATGAAATACCTGACATCTGGAGTTTAAAAGCGAGAGGTTTATCTTAGCTCATGGTTCTAGTCCATGGGCAGCTGGCTTTGAGGCAGAAACAGGGTGGAACAAGGACACAGTAGAGAAAAAGTGACTCGTGGTGGCCACGAGGAATCAGAGGGGAGGGAGGAGCCAGGGAAGGAGGCCAGCCTCCCAAGTCGTGCCCCCAGTGCCTCTGCTGTGGCCTATGTCTGTGTGGGTCCCAAGGCTCCTGTGCTCACAGTGGGGACCTTTACGAAGTGTCTCAGATGATACTGGATTAGCTCACTTACTGGTTTGCATAATTTTGGGTGATGGATTTACTGAAGAAGGAAGACCCATCCTGGTATGGGTGACACCAACCAATAGGCTTGTAGCTCAAATGGAATAAAAAAGGAGAGAAGGGAGGTTGACTGCTTACCGCCTACCATACCACGGGCTGCTTCTCCTGTCATGTTGTACTGTCTCGGAGCCAACTGACTATGGACTGAAATGTCTACAAACTGAGCTAAATCAAATTTTCCTCCCTTAGCTTGGGAGTGTTGAGAGCTCTATCCCAGGAGTGAGAAACCAACTGAGATACCATTGCTTTTAACCAAACTCCAGCTCTGAACAGGACACACTAGGAGCACATTTTATCTTATTATTATTTGTTTTATAATGTATTTAGGACGGGGTCTATAGGGCCTACAGGGTCTCACTATGTAGATCAGACTCAGTGATTTTCCTGTTTGCAGCCTCCCAAGTGCTGGGATTATAGGCATGCGCCACCACGCCCAGTCTTAATCAGTGTCTCAACGCGCCCCAGGGGCAGGGCCAACATGGCATACCAGGGACCAAACCCTGGCTGCAGCACTCTGCCTAAGCAGGAGCTTTAGTCTGCTGAGCTACCTGGCCGGTCCTTTGGGTCACATTTTAGAGTTACACTATAATCCATGGTTATTTTATGCTATAAATATTCTAATTTTCTCAAACACATTGTTATAAGCAGTAATATCATGTAGTTATTATTATTTCACTTGTCAACTTTGAAGCACACATTCCTAGACCCCTGAGGGAATAGTAAGTTGGCTAACTAGGGAAGTTTATGTTCTGATCATTCACATTTCTGTTTGCAGGAGAAAGGTTTTAGTCACAAACTTGAGAAATCTAACTGATTTAGTAAGAAGGACTAAAAATAATATGGACATTGTTCTCACCTTTTGGAAATTCAAACATTATCCTCAGTTCTGTGGCTAACAGTATTCAAACTGATTAAGAGTGATATCAAAAGATACATTAATCTAACAATAGGAGAAATGGTTCTTGGGCTGGGGATGTAGCTCAGTAGCACAGTGCCTGCCTAGCAAGTGCGAGGTCCTGAGTTCAATTCCTGGCACCAAAAAAAGACTGGTTCTTAAAGTAATACAAAAGAGGAAACAATACCACTGTGGTTTACAGGTCAGTAGGATTTTGCTACAGACTGAACGGGCAGGCTCCACATGCATGAGCTGAGGCCCAATGCCTGAGGTGGTTACACTAGGAAGTAAAGCCTTGGGAGAAGATCAGGTCCTCACAGCAAAGCCCTAGTAAATGGCATGTGGTGGTCTTAGGAAAGAGACTCCAGGGGGCGTCCTTGCCTCTTCCACCATACACGATGCACAGAAAAGACAGATGGTGTGAGCTAGACACTCACTAGACCCTGCGGCTGCCTTGCCTTTAAGAGTCTCATGCTCCACCGACTGAGCTAGCCGGGCACCTGCCTGGCCTTTATCATGGACTTCTATCTCAGTTACTCTTCTTTTGTTGCTGGGACAAATACCCGACACCCAAAATGAAGAAAGCAAAGGTTTATATTTTTATTTTTTGCAGTACTGGGGATTGAACTCAGGACCTTGCATTTGCCAGGCAAGCACTTATTCTACTGAACTATCTCCCCAGCCCGCAAACCTTTATTTAGCTCACAGTTAGTGAAGGTTTTAGTTCATACTCAGCTAGCTCCAAGGCAGAGTGGCACATGGCGGCACAGAACAGCTGTTCATGGTGGCAGCAAAGAGCAAGAGCAAAAGGAGGAGTAGCAGCAACAATAGCAACAGAGAGCCAGTCTGTCTCCCTTCCGTTGCATTCAGGCTACCTGCCCCAGGCTGGGTATAGTACTCACACCCATTATCCCAGCAGCACTCACACTCATAATCTCAGTGGATCACGAGTTAATCACAAACTCTAGAAGTCCGCCCCATGATTGCACGGGACTTTGGGAGGCCAACTACACACAAACCATAACAACTTCTCAGACCTGTGAGAAATAACTTTTTGTTGTTTGTGAGCCAACTCGTCTATAACACCTCAGCAGCTGGGGTGGTGGCGCATGCTGGCAATCTCGGTGAGCACTTGAAGGCTGAGGCAGGAGGACTGCTACTGAGTTTTGAGCTACACAGTGAGTACAAGACCAGCCTGAGCAGCATAGCAAGACCCTGTCTCAGACTGAAAAGACCCAAAGAGACTGAAATGTGAAATGACAAGACTTTGGTTCTTCAAGGAACAGCTGCATGAATGCTGTGTGCCATGAGAGAATTCTGCACATACTGTCACTGACTCACTTCCTGCAGTGTTCTACCCCATAGCTGATGACGAGGATCAGCAAAGCAGCTTATAGAAATCATACACAGTTTTGAGCCCAAGCTGAGACCCCCAAGCTAAACACATCTTCCTCTACCATCCCCAAATAGACCCCTTATGTTCAGGGATCTGAATCATTTCCATTCCTCCCTAAAAGCAAGCCTCCCATGTTCATTAGAAAATAGGAAATTATTTCAACATAAAAAGCATAAAATGATGACCTGACCATTGACTTTGATAGGAAAATGGGAAAAGCAATGGGTTTCAGCTGGGTAGAGAGGGACAGAGGTGGAAAACAGCACAGGCAAGAGAGGCCCAGGCCTCAGGCTCTGCTCTGACAGGTTAAAGGGTAAGCACGGTTGGCTGGTGATCCACCCTCCCTTCACTTGGTCAACACATACTGATTCTGAATCTTCTCTGAGCCACCCAGTGTTTAGTCCGCTGTAACTCAAGGTAAGTGGTGAGCGGCCTGTGATCCGAATTCACTCTGCAGTGGGTCCCAGAGATACAGACAAACCACACTAACACACGCTGAGAGCACACTCGGCCTCTAGACCCGACTGTAGTCTAGCTCCATGGGAGGATCATGAGACTTCTCAGAGGAAGTACCATTTGTGCTGGGATCTCGCAGGCAGAAGAATGGAAGGCCATGCAGGCAGAGCATATGTCCAAAGCCCTGGCAATCAGAGAGATGGGGACAGGTGCTGCAGGTGAAAGACAATTACAGGGTGAAGTACAGGGTGCATGGTGATGGTGGCAGTGGCAACAGGGAGATGGCACTGCTGATGCAGTCAGGACAGTGAGTCTGCTGCCTAGTGTGGCCTGCATCCTGTAGATAGCCAGCAGCCAAAGGATGTAGGTAGGGGTGCCAGGGTCTGTGATAACATCACCTAGATGACAGATGGGAGGAAGCCAGACAGGTGGCAGCGAGCCAGTGGTTGCCAACTCTACCTGAAGAGACCCCTGCACCTCAATGGTCTTTGTGATCTTTTCTAGCTGTCCATTTCACAAGGTCCAGAAAGATTAAAAAATCTGCCCAGAATTATCAAGCCAGGGAACAAGAGAGTTGGAACCAGAGTGAAATCCTTCTGTGGGCACTGCTGTGTCCTTCTCAGCTAGCTACCTACAAATGGGGAGCTCTGCGGTCTGGACTGCTCATGGAGGACTCAAGCTTATCTCACAAGGGCAGCACTATGAAGGTAGAAAATGATAGCAGAGAAGAGGGTGAAGCATTGGTTTTGCACTGGTCTGGGATTCTTGCTGTGTTACACACCTGGTAACTAGCGACACTGACATAGCTTAGTTACACAATGAGCACAGAGATACAGTAACTTGGGACAGTCACCATCGCCACTTTTAACTGAGATCCTAACCCAAGTGCCCTGCCCCTAAAATTTGTAGGCAGGAAAGTGAGTTTGTTCTGTTTCCCTAGAAAACTCAACTTTTTGAGGGAAGCAAATCTCTCCAGTCATTCACCCCAAAGGTGATGGAGATGAAGAGCTTATTTTGAGGTTAGAAACAGATTTCCTGACACCTGTACCTTCCTGAGAGGGCCCTAAGACTTTCTATCTGGCGTGAAGTCATGGTGTGCCGGGGAGCCTCAGAGCCGCACGTGGGCGGAGCCTCTTCCTCGCGGCATGTTCCAGAGCTCCAGAGTGAGCCCCTGCATGAGGTAGCATGAATGACAGGCCGGGGAAGAAGGTGTCTGTGCGCTGCCGAGCGGTACGTCACACTGCGTGTACCAAGCCACTGCGAGAAACACAGCACGCTATGTTTTCAGTTGGTCACAGATGGGAGAAAACCAGCCACAATAATAAATGCACGGAGGTGTCGTGTGTCATCGCACACGGAGCCGAGACGTGTGATCCAGAAGGTGTGTGTGGGGGAGTCAGGACCATATGTTGCTTGTCTGCGGTGGGTCCTTCCCATGTCACAGCATACTGTTCTTCCCGGCAGCACTGGTGCTATCCTGAGGCCGCTGCCTTCAGCCAAACCTACATGATTCTTACCAGGTACTGAAGTCTCTGGCGCTCGGTCTCCGGGGTGAATTCTGAAGACATGGGGATGATTTCTCCGTTCCTGATAATGATGGCCCTGAAACATGAAAATGCATTGTCAGCAGCCAATCTCTTATGTCCCCGACGCCATGACAACCACAGCCTGGTTTGGACCAGAGACAAAATGCCAGGGGAGGCCATCTCCCACCTGCTGGGCAGAATTCGTGCTGTGTTGGATGCAGCCCGTCCGTGTGTATGGCATTCTACTAGCCCCGATTCCTTCCGTGCTAGCTACAACCAATGCCTCACTGCCTCAGCGCCAAGCACGGCACTCAGCACACAGCAAATGCTCAGTGAGTGAGTGAGTGACGCAAGGGCGGCCCACTGTATTTCAGGTCTATCTAGCAGAGTCTTGTCTGATCATGAAAATACTCTTACGTGTGCAGCCCAAGGCGGCGGCCACCAGCCATATAGTTACGGAGCATCTGAATAGTGGTGAGTGCAGGAGAACTAACTTTCCAATATTACTTTAATTAGTTTAACTCCAAGTAGTCCCATGTGGCTAGCACTCATTGTAATGGACAGGACAACTCCAGACCCCGGGGCAGCCCCACTGGCTTCTCTTGGGAGTGTGGTAGAAACGCAGAAGCTGAAATTGTGCCCCAGACTCAACGCACCAGCTGATTCATAAGCACATGAAAATCCAAAAACCTCTGGTTTACACTCTCGAGTTTCTAGGCTCATATCCTGGGTGCAGAGAAAGTAACTCTCATGGCATCTGAAGGCTCAGAAAACTCACAAACTTCAAAACATGTGCCCAAGAGCCTTTGGCGACCGAAGGACTTCTGAGAGCTCGGCTCCTAGAGCCAATGTTCCAGGAGAGAGCTGTGTGGCACCCTTCTCAACCCCGGTCCTGGTCGGGCCACCTGTTCTCAGACCTGATTCCAAAGTGGTTCCTGTCAGCCACTTTGTAGCAACTGATCCATCAGTCACTGCAGAAGGTTGCTACTCTTATGACAAATGAAAATAGTTTAGGGGATTGTGTTTTATAGGAAACTAACAGCTCCCCGGAATTAGGAGCCAGGGACCTGGGTCCACGTTTTTGCAAAATCCACAAACACAGAATTCAGTTCTGACATCAGCTCTGGATTCTTGCTGATTTTAGGGGAGATTGCTTTTTTGTGCCAAGAATCCCTTGGACACCCTTCTTCAACTGCAGAGGTGGTCATGACCCGGAATAGCATGGCCATGACCCTGACCCCCGCTACCTATGCCCGAGTTACTATCATTATAGGAACTGAGAGAGGTAGAAATCTTAGAGGCTTTGGAGAATTACAGCTCCAGAAGGAGAAGTTGGGAGAAAACAGAAAAATTTAGGGGAGCTAATTCTGGGAAGAGGATGTCTCTTGCTGTAATATTTTTAATCACTTCTTTGTGTTGCATAAAATGTGACAAAGATTCCTTAAAAAAAAAAAAAACCCACAATCACTTGTAAAACACTATTATATCCCCTTCCCAAGGGTCATATCCACTGTCATGGTCTGTTTCTATATGTTCCCCAAAGCTCCATGTATTTTAGATGGGACTTTTCAGGAAGTAGCTCAATCTAGAGTTTAGGATTGATTCATGGTTCCACGCTGGGATTAAGGGTGCTAGGATTAAGGGTGGGTGATGCTGGATCAGTCCATTGACTGGATCAGCCCTGCTCTCTTCCCAGCAGTCGGGATAAGCTAAAAGGGCAGAAAGAGCTTCTTTGCTCCTTTTGCTCTTGCCATTTTTGCTTTATCAACCACCATGAACTGTTGGCTGTCCGCCATGTGCCACCCTGCCTTGGAGCCAGCCAGTTACAGACTAAAACTTGTATGAAGTGGAGGTCAAATGAACCTTTCCTCCTTTAACTCTGGGTGTCAGTATTTTGTCTCAGTATTGAGAAACATAATTGAGACAGAACTTGGAACCAGAGAAGTGGGGTCTTGCTGTGACTATACCTAACCATGTGGTGCAGGACCCTTCAAAAATGGCTCGTGGGAAGAGTCTGAAAAGGTCTGGAGATACTAGATGAAAAAGTAGGGTTTGAATGCCTTGGCAGTTCTTTACAGGAGATTATGGTCAGAGCTCAGAAGACCAAGAGGGCTGATAGAAATCCTGCCAGTAAAGACCAGGCTTGGGAAGTTTTTGCTGGTAAGGAAGACTGCCTTGGCTATCGGTCTCTGGATGATGTGTGTTATGGCTTATCAGAAAGTTTGAGTTTTGTTCATGTCCAGAGACTTTGCCTGAGATTGAGATTAAGAGTGGTAGACTAATCTGGTAGAAAAAATTTCAAGGTGGTTGAATGCTGAAGCAATGGCATGGCTTCTGTTGGGGACTTGTAGCCAGATTTATGTTGAGAATCAAGAACGAAGAGTCCAGCAGACTGATTTAAAACACTGCGCATTTGCTAGAAAGACAGCGCCAGCAAAGCTGTAGATGTCAAAGATGGAGCAGAGGAAATCTTGATTGCTGAGAAGGAAGAGGAAAATCGAAAAGATGGCCTGAGGGCAACACAGGAAGCAGTAGGACTCCAGCCTTTGAAGCCTCAAAACTGCGAAAGTGGAAGACTTTGAGGAGACAGTTGAGGAACACTGTTCTAGAATGGTGATGACCACACCATGTTCCAGAATGGTGGAAGCATGGAGAATCTGTTCCTCAGTACTGGATTCAGAGTGTCCAGCAATCCAGGCAGTGGACCCCTACAGCCAAGAGAGGGAAGCCTGGCTACTGCTCCAGTTGACAGCCGACCTTGGCATCACCTATGTGGCACTGGCATTAGGTGCATGAAGAATGCAAGGGTTGTAGGTTCAGAAAGCCTTCCACACAGACTTCAGAAAACTTTGGAGGCCAGAAAGTGTGTGCTTGAGAGGGAAGTGTGTGAATCAGTGAGGGTGAGCCAAAGGTGCGGTGCAGACCCCAGGTTTGGAGAAAAAAGGAATGTGGATTATGTAAGCAAAACTGCAAGGAGGGAGTTTCCACAAGAGCACGCCCAAGAGAGAAACCATGGGAGCTTCTGCCACTGGAAGCGCTGCAGGGGCGCAGCCTCTGGCGCTGCACATGGAACTGCGGGACTTAATGTTTGCCCTGATGGATTTTGGACTTGTCCCATTCCTTTGTAACTTCTGAAATAGAAATGTCTAGCTTGTGTCACTGAATGTTGGAAGTGTTTAACTTTCTTTTCATTTGTACAGAGGCTCATCGCTAAGAGTTTGCCTTAAATCTCAGAGGAAAATTTTGACTTGGACTGGACTTGGACTCATCAGTGTTAAAATCGTTAGAACTCTGGCAATTCATAGAGATGACTGTGAGTTTCATATACAGGGACGCACATGCGTCTCTGTGGGGCCATGGACAGAATGTTAGCGTTTGTGTCTAGGTGTCCTCCCAAAGCCGCATGCAGTCAGAGTTTTCTCAGAGGTGGCTAAATTCAGTGTGTGTTATTGACTGGTGGTGCAATGCTGGAATTAAGACTGCTGGGCTTGGGCCGGGGAGATGGCTCAGTAGGATAAGCGCTTGACTGGCAAATGCAAGGATCTGAGTTCAATCCCCGGTTCCGCAAAAAAAAAAAAAAGACTGCTGGGCTTAAGAGTGGATAACTGCTGGATCAGTCCACTGACTGGACTGGCACTGCCCTAAGCCTAGCGACCTGGATAGAGCATAAAAGGCAGAACAATGCTGTTAAAGTTCAGTTGTTGATTCTGCTGTCTTTTGCCACCAAGAACTGCTGCTCCTTTGCCACAGTACCCTACCTTGGAGCCACAGTGAGCTAAATCAACTTTTTCACTATTATCTTTGGATGTCAGCTATTCTGTTTCAGCAGTGAGAGAAAAGTAGCTAAGACAGCCACCATTCAAAAATCAGTGTGAATTAACAGTCTTTGTCCTAATTCTCAGCTGGAAGAACAGAGTAGGTATGGGAACTACCATAGTAAGGAAAGAAGGGTTCTGAGAGAGGACAGAGAACCTTGGAGAACTTAAAGGGGATGGAGTGTCAAGACAATCTAGGGTAGGTTCTAATCTGAAAGTAGTAACAGTGCTTTGAGATCCAGAGAGGCTGGAGTCAATGCTGTTATGTGATACACCCTAAAGGCAGTCTTCTCTTTCAAAATTTTGCTTAAAGCCAGTTTGAACTCTTTTTCTCTCCTTTTTCTACATGGGCCCTGAATTTCAGGTTATTCCTAGAAGTGCACTAGAAAAGTTAAGATATCATGGAAGGAAGTAAAAGAGAATGAATAACAAGAGAGAAGGGTACACATACTTCTGTATAGGACAGGTGTCAGAGACCCAGGGAGGACGCTAAGTGCTGCTCTGCAGCGGGACCCACTGGGAGGAGCTGGCCTTGCTCAAAAGGGGCCACTGGGTCAAGGACCAAATGTCTAGAAGGCAAAGCCCCTTATCTCTTGTCCTTGGTCATACTACAAATACTTAGCCTAGTGGCTGTGGCATAGCAGGAGCCCTCTGCATATCTGCTGAATAAACGAGCCTATGAGAGAACATAAGAGATGCTATGCTGCTCCTTGCACTTCAGATAGGAGAAACACAGGAAGGACTATGGGGCAGCAGATGTTCATTTTGAGAGTGAGGTGGACCAGAGGGCCTTCACCTGGAAAGTCAGCTCCCTCAGCCGCCTTTCTACCATCCCCACATCAGTGCTAGTCAATCCTTTCTCACCCCGGAGTCCTCCCAGTGCCAGTTATCTCCAACTTGTCTCCACTGGACCTCTGTCTGTGGGACCAGAATTGCTCAATACACTTTGTGTTTAAAGAGAAGCAACACAAAACCAAAGCCAAACATACTTTTCTTGTTGAAAGTCCATTCTTAGGGACTGTCCTCTTTTCTGATTAAGCTGATACATAAATTAATAGCAATTAATAGGCTATCCAAGGCTCTACTTCTGTACTTCCCATCCGTCCTTCAAACAAGAGTAGATTCATTTCTTTCCTGTCTGTTTTCATCTGCTGTCATCAGCATCCCCAAATGGTCCCCTTGTTGCTCCACTGACTGGACATGTCATATTCTGATCTGTAAGGCAGCGTTTGGCAGTTTCTTCCAGTCCTAGCTGCTGGCA